GTCACGCAGAGCCCACAGTGGGACCAGTTGCTTCTTAGGCAGCTATCTTCCAGCAGTGACCCCAGGGATTTAGAACTTTTCCATTTGTGGCTTGACCATCTCAACATGTGCCTTCCACCGGCTACAGCAGAAGAGAGCTAGAGGCTCATGGACCAACTCCTCAGTGCTTTGGACGAGGAGTAACACACTTCATTTCTGCTCACAGCCCACTGGCCAAAGATAGTCACCAAGGCCCCACCTAACTGCAAGGGGCTGGGAAGTCTGGAAGCTTTGGTGCCAAATCATCTCACTTCTATACACATTATTTACTCATCTAATGTCTACCTTCCTCCATGAAATACACATCATGACAACAGGCCAGTTTTGTTTACTGCTGTATCCTCAGTACCTAGAACAGTGCCTAGCATATTTATTAGTGAGAATATTTGTGGAATGATTAAACAAGTGTACGAAAGATGGGCTCACAGCCTGTGGGAACAGATAAGCCAATGGTCAGTCACAGCAATGTGCTGAGTGCTGTGATGGAGGTGGACAAGCCATAGGAGAAGCCCTTAGCTCCCCATAGAGATGTCAGGGAAGACTTCACAGAGACATGAAATTTGGACAAGAAAAGACATTTACCAAGGAAAAAGGAGGTGAGGGACAGAGGGACCCAGAGACACGAACCACTCTAACCCATTCAGTGGCTGTCCAGGCCCATCTCTATAAGAACAAAATATGTGGACATTGGAGGAGAATGAGGTCTGAAATGTTGGCCTGGGCCCGGTTGTCCAGCCTTGTAAACTTCACCAGAGAGCCTGGATTTTACCTTGTAAGAAACAGGAAACTCATAAAGGTCTTCAAGGAAAGAAATGTATGATTTTATTGAGGCAAATGTTCTTGGGAAATTTACAAAGCAATGAGGACAGCCATTCTTCCATTTACAATTCTTTGTTCCCTACCAACTTGGAATTAGTCATATCCCAAGAAGTGCCTAGCTCTTCAAAGTTTAGCCCCCTTTTTCCTGTGGCCTTGTCTCCCACCATTTCTTCACAGCAGCCTCTGCTTCCAGCACGTCAAGTTCTAGAAGATCCTGAGCATGCTAGGGGATGTTAGGCCTCCGTGACCAAGGAGACATGCTCGAGGTCAGAGAGTTGGGGAAAACTTGCTGTCTCTTACCATAGGGCCCTTTCTACTGTGCCATGCACCTTTAAGTAGGCTCATAAAGTTGCTGTGTCCTGCATGGCTAAAGGAATGCATGTTCTGAGTGGGAAGCTGTGGATTAGAGAATAAACATAAAAATAAACACGCAAAGACATACAAGCAGAGAAAAGCGGGGATCGGGTGGTCTTGACTTCTCTGTGATCCCAGGCCTGTTCCAAGTTTATTCTTTTAAAGGGCAGAACATGGGGAAGGGAAAGTAGAATGCAAAGTCAAAGTCAGTTATTTTCAGCTGTTAGTCGGAAGGTCACCATGTTTGCTCAGATTGGCTGCTCTTGACATAAAATGACAAGGTGTCCATGACAGGTTATAGGTGCTTTCTTGTTCTGGTATTGTCATGGTGAACATTTGTTAATATTAGCCCAAGACTTTCCTCATGGGATCAGACTGGGCCCAGGGAAAAGGGCCAGGGAAGGGGTATCTATCTTAGGATTGTCTCTGCTGTCTGGTAAACCCAGTGGTATTGCTCTCAGTACACTTGACCCAAGATCAGGGCCTGGTGAGATCAACCCAACAGATTAGCATCTGCACCTCTCATTGCCTGCATGGGGAAGAGTCACACTTTCTAGGGCTGAATCTTCTGGAGTAAATGCTGACAAGGCCACACCCTGGGGCTGAAGCTAAACCGCATGGTCCTATTAAAGGCTCTGACAGGCCACTTCCTGGAGTGTCTCACACTGAAGCAATAGCAGTTGGTAGCTTTTACGGGGCTGTTATCCTACCATGTATGAGCACACAGGGAAGGAATATTGCATTCCCCAGGAAGCTCCTCCTACAGTCAGTAAGGCAGGATAGTATTTGTCATTCATCTGTCCTCTCCTTTATTTCTACTGCCCACCCCTATGCAGAGCAAACAAAATGGGAGAGGGCTCTTTGGTAAGAAAAAAAATGATAAATCTATTAGCATCATACCATATCACAGCTGTGGTAGGACCAACATAAGTAAGAGAAAGATGTATTTGTTGTCTAGGTTTTTTTTTTTTTTTTTTTTGGAGAAGTTTTTTGCTATAGGGCGCGTGCGCTCGCCAGACAGACAGAGAGAGACAGAGAGATAGAAAGCAGGAAATCACCCCCCAGGGGGAATGGCCACGCCGCAATCCCTGCTCCTCCATTCTCCTCTCGGGATCTTGGGCACGCACGCACACGCGCCCGGCGTGAGTTTAAGCCATCGGGTCCGGGACTCGAACCGCGTTCGACTACGTGGGAGTCCAGCGACATAGCCATTACGCTAACTGCTGATCCCTAGGTTTTTTTTTTTTTTTTAATTTCTCAACTCTTATCCTCTAGTTTCACTGAGGGAAAAATTATTTGGGCTTGCTGAGCTAGAATCAAGGGAGGAAGGTGGAGAGGTAAGGAAAATTTGAGAGGAAGTCTATGGTTGTGAGAGGATAGGAGTCGAGGGGTACTTGTGAGAGGAGACTGAACAGAGAAGGGTGTCCTGGATACTGAGTGACGGTCGGACAACAGGTGACTGGACAGAGAAATAAGGAAGTACTCTCTAATGTCCAGAGGGACCTGTTGAGTACAACAGCCACCACACACATGTGGCTATCAACACTTGAAAGATGGCTCCTCTGAGTTGAAATGTACAAAATACACATCAGATTTTTGAAGATTTAGTACCAAAAAAGTGTAATATCTCAATGATTTCTTAATATTGATTACGTGTGCAAATGATAGTATCTCGGATACTGTGGGTTAAATATATTATTACAATGAATTATAGGGACCAGCAGATGGTGTAATGGTTATGTTGTTGGAGTCCCATGTAGCTGACCGTGATTTGAGTTCAGGACCCAGGGACTTAAAACTCACACTGAGTTAGTGTGCATGGGTGCCCCAAATCCCAAGAGAATGGAGGAGAAGGGATTGTGGTGTGGCCATCCCTTTGGGGGGGTGTGTGTGTAATTTATTGCCTTCTGTCTCTCTCTGTCTCTTTGGTGAGTGTACACACCACACCCTATAGCAGAAATCTCCCTAAAGAGATAACATTAATTTTATAGGTTTCTTTATATTTTTTAAAATGTGACAACTAGAAAATTTTAAATTATGTATGTGACTTGCATTGTATTTCTGTTGGAGAGTGTTGTCCAGACATCATACATATGAGCAGTGGTTAACAGTAAGACGCCACACTGTTACAGGCACAATAAGCATAAATCAGGGGTCACACTGCCTTAGAATAGGGGTTTGTTGGTAGCTACATGGATTCTACCTTGACATTTGTCCATCTAGTATCTTTTAAGACGACAAAATTCATATTAAATTCTGCATTTAGGAATAAACTTTCTAGAGAAAAACAAAATTCATATTAAACTCTACCTTTAGGAATAAACTTTCTAGAGAATGATGGAAATATTTTAAGAGTGTCTAAAATAGTCTGATAAGATAGAGGCATTCTCAATTTTATTTGCTAAGAAAATTATTTAATATTAATTTTGTCCTGTTGGCCTTTTGTTAGGCTGAGTTGAACTTTCATAGACTTTATAGAAAAGCATGTGAGGGACAAACTGTTTCTTGGAGGGAATGAAAGATTTAATTTATTCTTCAGCTCTTTCCATTTTTTTCTACCATTGTTTTTTAAAGAATTATTTAATTTTATTTATTTATTTATTTTTAAATTTGCTATAGGACATGTACACTCACCAGAAACAGAAAGAAAGAGAGAGTGAGAAAGCAAGCCTCCAGGTCTGGGACTTGAACTGTGCTCAGCCAAATGGGAGTCCAGTGCTTCAACCACCTTACCACTGCTGGACCTTTAAAACTGTTTTTGTCTTGTTTTTGTTTTTCTTTTTTCATTTGGGGCTTGGAAAATGGGAAAGATGTACTAAGGTACCTCTATCAATGCCAAGGATTGTTTTATAGGAGCGACTCCGGAAGGGCATGAGGTTTTCAGGCCAGGACAATGGAAAGGACCCCTCATGCTCTATGCACTATAAAGTCAACAAACTAGCAGCCATCCTTCCTACTGTGCCATCCTTCCTACTGTGGCTTCCAGAGTTGCTTTTAAGGTGCACTTCAGCAGTGTCCTGCTCTTAAATAGACATTGTATCATATTGTGCTCAAAAGCCATTTTGACTCAGCCTCAGTGGCACAAGTAGTAGTGTACTGATCTGAAGTGCTAGCAACCACATAGCTGACTGTGGGTTCAGATCCTGAGTTGACCAAGATTCTGACTAGCTAGAGAGCTGGGGACATGGTAAGACCTTATTGAGAACACTGCCCATCCCACCACCCCACCTCTTTCTTTCTCTCTTCCGCACAACCTCTTTCTCATGAAATAAAGAAATTAAACATTTTAAAAGTTGATTTTTCTTTTTTACTAAAAAAATGTTTTCTAAAGCCCCTTTCCTATGGGGGCTAGCAGGTGGTGTGGATATTAAGGCAGCTAGATCCCACATGGCCACTGTGTGCTTCAAGTCCTGGATACTGTGGCTAGAAAAACCCACCGGGCACAAGGGCAAGCATGCCCAAAAGGAGTGGTGTATTGCCGTGTCCTTTGTGTGGGTGTGTGTGTGTGTGTGTGTGTGTGTATGTGTGTGTATGTGAGGGGGGTGATTTCTGGCTTTCCCACTCTCTATCTCTGCCAAGCACACACAGCCTATAACAACAACAACCACAACAAAAAGTGCCACTTTGCTAACCACCACCCACCCCCTGCTCTGTTACTCCATTACGTTAACCGATTCCAGGTACTAAGAAGATCCACTCTGCCTGTTATGCCACCAGGTTAACTGATTCCAGGTGCTTGGGAGATAGGATCCTTAAGGGGAAAAAAAAGTCATAGTAGAATACTTCACCTTGTGTTTAGCAGGTGTCGCATGGACGTACTGGCGAGCCACTAGACTGTGCAA